TACGCCACGCCCACAGCGCAGAAGCTGTTGTTGGGCACGGCGGCGATCTCGCCCGCGCAGCGGGTGCCGTGGTGATTGTCACTGTGGGCATCAGGGTGGGGCATCGGGTCTGGGTCATTCGAGTTCAGGTCATAGCTGCCCTCAGGACTCTGGGGAGGAAACAACACACACCTGAATCACTGTCCTACACACACACTGTCATAGCAACACACACCTGAACCACTGTCCTACACACACACACTGTCACACCTGAGTCACTGTCCTACACACTTTCTCATACACACAGATCTCAGCTCACGCTGTCTCCACACACTGACATCATCTCTAAAAACACTGATAATTTGATAGGTTGTCACTGCACATACAGTGGTGCCCACTATTACTACACAATCATCACACATCAGTGTTGCACAAACAGTGTTCAGACTGGCACGCAGGCCACCTCCTGTAACTCCAGCTTTTTACTTACCTGACTAAGACCCTTGATCAACGTGTGAAGTTTGTGAGCAGCTAGATATTTTTGGTAGAAAGAGTATCTTAATGCTATATTGAAAGAGAATTGTTGACATTCTTGACATTAAATGCTACCTTTAAACACTATACTGGATACACAGGCGCACACTGTTACACACACCCAAGCACCCTGCACACACACATCATGACACACACACACTGAGACACACACCCGAATACCATGACATGCACCCACCCTGCACACACACACACGACGCACACATCATGACACACACCCAAATACCCTGCACGCACCCAAATTGTGACACGCACACCGTTACACAAAGCGGCGCCACACAGACTCACATAGTTGGGCTGGATGTCCTGGAGCGTATGCTGAACCCCGTCGTCGACGACGACCACCGTGACCCCTGACCCCGTGATATTGCGCTCCCACACTCCAGTCACATTGATGTCCATCCCCATCTTGACCTTATTGTGCTGCGGGGGAGAAGGAAAGAGAGAACATGCCGAAGAAAAGGAAGTGGATGAGAAACGGACAGAGAGGGGCAAGCGCACAAGTGACACAAGGGAGGAAAGGAGATTCTGACAGAGAGAGAACAAGGGGGTAAGGAAATCTTCACAAAAGAAACTCTCAGGCAGCCACAGCCAGCAGAACAAGGGCAGGCCGACAGTGAGACATCAGGGGCCCGTGATCATTACATTAACCACTTAGTCCAAAACAGGGTCGCTGGACAGGATGCTAGTCCATCGCAGGGCACAAGAAGACATGACAGGGGATACAATTTAGAGACGCCAGTTAATGTAGACAGCAGGTTTTCAGCCTGTCATGTCTATCAGAAATGACAAAGAGTCAGACAGTCGCAGACATGCAGCAAAAAACTGACTGTTACTCACTGTCAGTCAGTGTGCTAGTCAGTACATTCATCAGCCCATGTTTTTCAGCACGTTCGTGTCTCACAGTCTGTTAAGCAATATATCGGGGTCGAACAGTGCATTAATTTCTCTGTTTATTTTGAGTATATTCATGCAGTGCTTCCTGTACGTTTTCAGCTCACAGCACACGTACAACCTCCCAAACACCAAATAGTTTAAAATAATCAGCACTAATAGTACAAGAAATGTCTTCTAACCTTTTCATTTCCAAGAAACATTTTTTGAAAATACTCTTCTTCACTTGCTGAACTAGAATTTCAAGGTGAAACATGCTTGTCCCAATGAAAAGAAATACTTCAGACTCGTTTCAACACTGGAACAAGTTACCTGACGCACCTTACCTAAACAATTTAAACAACTTGGATTCTGCGACACACCAGAAACCTGCAGCACGTCAGCAGGCTGCTCTAGTTCCGAGACCCGTCAACGGCACGCTGGCAAACTGTAGAACACCCCTGACCTGCCCACGGCCCGGTCCGCCCCCTGACCTGCCCACGGCCCGGTCCGCCCCCTGACCTGCCCACGGCCCGGTCCACCCTCTGACCTGCCCACGGCCCGGCACAGCCCCCTGACCTGCCCACGGCACAGCCCCTGACCTGCCCACAACCAGCCAGTCTCCTGCAGCACGCCAGTGAGCACGCCAGTTTGGGAAGCAGTGCGTCAGAGTACCAGTCTGTCACCCACTCAAGCCATGTCTGAGCTACACGGTCCCCTTCTCACCAGGTGCCACTGTTTGGGGTATTTGGGATCGTTGAAGGCCAGCTCTCTCTTGGCCCTGCGCAGAAGCTGCTGCTGGGAGAACCAGGACACCTCAGGGTGGGCAGCCAGCACTTCGGCCGCCCCCTTGTCGTCCTGATCCCACCCGTCCGGCCCCACACCAGGGCAGAACAGGTAGTGGCCCTCCAGCTGCCCGATCTGCCCCCGGCTCTCCAGCCCCGCCTCCGCGGCTACTCGGTGGGCCAGCTCGTCCAGCTCCTGTCCGCCGGCGTGCCCGCCGCGATCCAGCCGGACCGCCCAGGCCTGGCCCGGCCCACAGGGGGCCGCCCCGGCCGCGGGCGCGGGCAGAGGGGTGGTCAGGAGTGCCAGCAGGGCCAGCAGAACGGCGGGCCAGGCCATAGCAGCTCACCCGCAGCCCTGCGACCACTGCACATCCGACCGGCAGCCTGGGGGGGAGAGAGAGAGAGGGGGGGGGGGGGAGATGAACTGGCACCCCAGTACGTGATCTCCTGTCCCAGCCTGAGGAGCAGTGAGCCCGTCTCCCACTAACGCTCAAGATGTTTACAGCACATGTAAATATTTTATGATATGTCTTTGTTGTAAGTGTCTGTAAGATTTTATTTTACTTTTATTTTTTGTTTTGTTTCAGGTAAATATGATGATTTTTATTTGCTTTGGCAACACTGATTCTCCCCATCGGTTGTGCTAATGAAGCACCCTGAATTGAACTGAAATTGAGAGAGCGAGAGAGACGCAGATCATGGGGCGACTCGCTCAGAGAGTGGGACCCCGGCTGGGGAGACCCCGTGAGCCCCAGCACCCTCAGCAATCTAACCACACATGGGGGATACTCTTCGCCTGGGCTGGAGGGCCCAGTGCCCAGACCTGGGCAGCCGGCCACACAACCTGGTGAACCCAGCTCTCGGCTGCTGCGTCGGACACCCAGGAGCGTTCTGGACGTCTCCCGCTGCCGGCGACTCCAAACGTTTGATTAGCTAAAAGGCGTGGTTGAAACCCCTCTGGAACTGGCTGGGATCATTCCAGGGGCGGGCAGAGGGGTGGTCAGGAGTGCCAGCAGGGCCAGCAGAACAGCGGGCCAGGCCATAGCAGCTCTTTCGTTTCTTGGGACCACTGGATAAAAGTGCCATTTTCCAGGCAGCGGTGTGCTGGGGCTCTGGGATAAGAGTGGGGGACGCTAACTGGCTGAACAAGCTCATCAAGAAGGCAAGTTCTGTCTCTGGGTCTGATCTGAACCCTCTGGAGATGGTGGCTGAGAGGAGAATGGTGTCCAAATTAATATCCAACATGGACAATGTCTCCCACCCCTCCATGACATGCTTGTGGGAATGAAGAGCACTTTCAGCAACAGGCTGATCCTACCACAGTGTGACAGGGAGCGATACAGAAGATCATTCGTGCCTACTGCCATAAGACCTCACCACCCAACCACTGTATGTCTGGACAGGGGCAGCACTGACCTGTTGTGACACCATACCTGCACTCCTGACACCTGATTCCTCTGTAACAACTATAATAATCATTCCTTACACTTATATAGTGCTTTTCTGCACACTCCACTCAAGGCACCTTACAGGTCATGGGGATCCCCTCCACCCCCACCAGTGTGCAGCCCCACCTGATGCAACTGGTGCTCTGTCTACATCCGGTTTAGAGAAGTGCAACATGTGGAAGTGGAATGGGCAATTCATCATTCACAGCTGTGCAATAGTTATCCACTCTGTGCAATATGGTTGGGAGTTTGCAATATCTACACTGTGTCTTAAGGCTTCCTTGTGTTCTGTACATTCAGACTTTTATTTATTTATTGCATTACTACATCTGCACTGTACTGTGTCGATTGTGCCTGGCTGCTGTAGCCCTTGACTTTCCCGCATGGGATCAATAAAGTACCGATCGATCTATAAAAACGGCGATTGGAATCACAGTGGTCTGAGTAAGGATCACAACTGGCTAAAAGCGTCGTGTGTCAAAGCGAGCCCGGCGGTCTCCTCCCAAGTGAATAAACAGCCAGGTAAGTCGGAGGAGGACGGGAGGCGAGGTTCTGGAACTTAACTCGCTCAGACACACTTCATCGGGGAGGGTAGCGCGGCCGACTGGCTGGTGAGCCGTCAGTCACGCAACAAGTCAGACAGGTTTGCCCCCGTCACCCGTCCGCGGAAACCAGAAACTCATGATTATCCGTCACAGTTTAAGGGCGGTTACTGCATTTGCCAACGATCCTGCTGCTCCCAATACTTTAACTGTTATGATAACTATTAATAATAATACCTCTTTATAATACTGCCAGCGCTCCTCATAATTCTACTTTATAGTGCCGGTACTACTACACGGAGTACAGCTCCCCCCAATTGCGGACAATTTTGTTGCAGTCAGCCTGATTTCTCCCTTTTCTCCCCCCTGCCCTCTGGTAAACGTTACAGGAGCATCAAGACACGGACCTCCCCATTCAGAGACAGCTTCTTCCCACAAGCCATCAGATACCCCTATCACTCACACTGATGCGGTTATTTTAAAGTTGTCTGTTATTTAACTTGTTGTTGTTGTTGTTGTTGCTGCTGCTGCTGATCTGTGTTTATGTTTCTGGCGATTCCTTTAATGTCTTTGTATTGGAGCACACACGCTAAGAAGCATTCCAATGCACAATCAAGTGAACTGAACTTATTGGCGCTGCCTATAGAAGAGTTACCTTTACAGTTATAATAATCCGTGTCGCTTGGGTTCACCTTGTGACAGAGACGGGAACACGAACAACAATAACACAGTAGCCCGCCGCTATAGTCACACAAAGTGAGCTTGAAAAGAAAAAGCAGACACGGAGGAGCCCGGGGAGAGAGAGAGAGGCAGAGTACCAGGAACTCTCCCCACCTGTCTGTCCGAAACTCTCTACCCCTCAGAGCTTTCGGTCGCTGCTCCTTACCTGTCAGGTGAAAAGTCCTCCGTTTGCGGCTCAAAACCCCATTATCTGTCTCTTCGAGTTTATTTCCTCCTCCCCCTCTGCCTTCCCCTTCTACTCTTTCGCTCTTTCAAGAAAACCGTGTTATTTCCAGTAAGTTATGTTACCACAACACTTCCGCGTTTGAGCAACACACGCGCACTGGGAGAGCGCCGTCACTTCCGGTAATAGCGCTGGTGCCGTGACGTCGTTATTGGAGAGGCATTCCCAGAACTGACCGACACATAGATGTCCGTTTGTTTAGCTACTGTGCTTGTGCTTCGCGATACAGACAGCTTTATCTTTTTTATTTATTTTAAAAAATACCAAAATACGCGAGTAGTTGGGTACAAGCAAAAATTCTGCTGCAGTAAGTGTAAGTACGAAGCATTACACACAACGAATACTTTAAAAATCAAGGTAACCGTCAGGTTTATAACCTCCTTTCTTCATTGTAAAACTATGATCAGCACTGTTCCTATCCTTGTGGTGACGTATCCTGCACTGTACACAGTTCTCTTGTCCAGTACTGCGGCTATAATACAGTGCTGTCCGTTTCCGCTTTTTTTAAATATAACTTTTACAATAATCGCTAACACAACAGGCCAAAGTTTGCAGTGCGGTGAGAAAAAGCACAGTCTTGAATATTAAGTCCGAACCCACATGCAAAGTGGTGATGGAGATGGCGGCGCTCCGCCCGGCAGAGGGCGCTGTGACGAACTTCCGTCCTCTTTGTAAACACGGAAGTACCTGCGAGGATACAACGTCTTGTGCGTGTGGAGTTAACGGGGGGCTTGAGTTTGCGTTTACTGTCTTTTCTGCTTGATTTGCGATTCCTGGCAAGAACGCGGAGCGAACAAACCGTAACTCTGCCTCAGGGAGCTGCTGAGATCAGCAAAGGCTTTAGGGCAAGTAGTTTTCGCTTCCGTTATGTTTTTCACCGTTTCGTTGATGAATTCTGATCCAAACATTTCGGATTGTACCCGTCTGCCGTCTGCCGTCTGCCGTCACCCGTCAGTGTGTCTACGCGATTGTGTTTTTCACAAAAGTGTTTCTGTTTCGTAATTATCATAGGAATGCACCCTCTTCAAATTCTAAAATGCATTTTCAACGTGTGTTTACCACGATGGGATTTTGTTTATTCTTGACTTTTACCGCTCTGGAAATTATACACGTTTGTAGGAAGTTGTCATTTCGGGCAGATGTTTTACCGCTCATCCTTAAGATCAAGTTTAATTTCATATAGCTTCTTTGAAAAAGACTTAGACTTTCCCAGAACAAACGGAAATCTATACAAAATGCTTAAACACTTAATAAGTAGATACGATCCACAAAAAAACACGAGAGACGATGAATGGTTGAAAATCCAATGCGTAAACACACGGCCCGGAGTCCGTTAGCTTGCCAGACATGATCAGAGGAAAATAAAGGATAATTCCACACTGATGATTGAGGAAACACTTATTAGAGAATGCTGATCATGTAGACAGGGTAGAGAATACAACTAGGAACAAGACCTACCTTGGTAACAAGCCCTGGGCTTCTAGCCTCTGCGATTGACTGTTCAGGTCTGTATGTCTCTCTTACAGTCTGTCAGACATGGGCTTGGAGGGAGACTTGAACTGGATTTCAGCACTGGAAGAGGAGCTCTCTGATTTAGATATCAGGTAAGATATCAGGCCACCGATACACACCTGGACCTCAGGTAGGGCTGCCACTGACACACGCACACACTCACCTGGGTCTCAGATGGTATTGTCACATTCACCTGAACGTCAATGTAACAGTATTATTGATAATAGCAATCAAGCCTTAACATAAAGTTGTAACACTTTATTCACATGGTTCCTTTCATAAGAAAAGTAGTTCAGTGTAACAAGGCTTATTTCAGCAATAGGCATCTTTTGTCTTGGATTAAAAAGTACAAAATGAGACATCTCTTGCATCCCTCTTACAACAGATGTGAGTTCTTCTGACACAAGAACACACTCACCTGAACGTTGGGTAACACATACTGACTGGGATGTGCACAAGTCAGTGTGTGACTCAGTCTATAGGCCTGTCCCTCAGGGCTGGCTCATACTGCTCTACAACGGACCTCTGATTATCATGTTTTCTTAGGTCTGGACACAGCTATGCTAACAACATTTCATCACAGAAAGTAAAAACCGATCAACTGGCATTTTGGGCATTTTGTATAAACCAAGGACTCATTCTCTTAATCCCCACCTCTCTCCACCCAAACTGGAAACTTCTCTTTTAGGGAGAACACCTCCTGCACAACAACAGACCAATCACACCACTGGACCTTAGACCTATCAGCCAATCCATGGGAAGGCAGCACTACTTTCCAGC